TATAGGTCATCTATATTATAAAAATAATAGGAAAATAAATGTCACTATACTCCATGCTGACTGCTGAGTCACAATGATAACATTAGTAGTCTTATTACTATTCGAAAGCATGAACTGTTTTCCATAAAGCTTTTATCATGGGCACAGGACAACTGGGACTATTCATAGCCAACCAATTTGGCCCCTAGGGCTATTCCACCTCGAGGACAATTTGTACCCCAGGTCTATTCGTCCCAGGGTTGTTAAAAAACATGAAGGCCAAATGGAGGAAGAAATTGGTAGCACTCCCTCTTCCTGCCTGAAGACTACATATACTATTTTCTGCCAATTCTAAAATGCTTCAGTGGTTTTAGTCACAAATAGTGATGAAGCCATCGGAATAGAACAATAACCATCCAGATGTTATTTCAAAAAGTTTCATAAAAGACAGTAATAATTAACATAAGCCATAATTTAAGGCCTAGATTTAATACTAAATGTAAAATGATGTAGGCCTGAAACTAGCATCAAAACTGAGATTCAGGATAAAAAGTGAAAATTAATTCACTTTTTTATAATGGAACTACCATTATTGTTGTTCGGGTACAAATAGTCCCGGGGGATGAAATGTCCTAGGGGATGAATAGTCAATGGACAAATTGTCCAGGGATGATTTGTCATTGGAGATGAGTTGGCTGAGGATGAATATCCCTAAGAGTCGAATAGTCCTGGGATCAATTGTCCTGGGATTAAATGTTCTCGGGGATGAGTTGTCCAAGCATGAATTATCCCGAGACAAATTGTCCTAGAGCCATCTACATTGTTCCTTACGCAATGGTGCTTGACAATCGAGAATATGAATTGTGGGAGGAGTTTCCTTCTGCCAATTATAGCTATTTCTTGTCAAAGGTTCAAACATTCATAACTTTGCTCAGAATAAAGTAATTAAATTTTTAATCATTATCTATTTTTGAACTATTACAGCATGAACAGCCAGATCTTTCTTCAGTTCTGTATCACCCACATTTCGGGGCTATTCTGCGTTGGAATAAGCACCCAGGTGATACATATGTAATATTTCATACATATGGATGATCTAGGATTGGGGGTGTATAGCTCATTCGTGCAGAAGTATTCTAGTGAAGGTGGTCACTGTGCATTTATAAGTCCAATTCCAAATCCATTTCAATATTACTTTATATATAGTTTAAAAATACATTATTTACAAGATCATATCAAAGGGCTACTAAATGTCTTAAGCCTATCTCATCTGATGTCCCTGTATATTTTCCATTGTTTTCTGTCTGTGTAGGGGTCTTTTAAACAAACTAATTTGCATACAGACAAAAAGACAATTATTTCAACAAATCAGATTAAAGATAAAATTAGGGATAAAAATATATAGTAACGAATCAAATGAAAGAAGTTAAATTAATATATAAATTTCATTGGGTAAAAGTTTTACAATAACATATAGAATTAGTTAATAAGCTTTTAAGCCGTAAATAAAATTACAAGCGTAGACACTTGATTGCCACTGATCTGACTGCATTGTTTAATGTATAAATCTTTATTTCGAGCTTTCTACTAATAAGCCTATTGGCACCTCAAAGATTATAATAGTACAGTCAAGACCATTCTTGCTTAGGGTAATCACTTTAAGAGGTTTAAATCAAAATATTAAAATCTAAATCAATGAATAGTATAAAGTCAGCCATATTGATGAATATAGAAGTAAGAATTAAATTATGTATTATTTGAAAAAGAAATTAATATCACTATTCGGTGATATCTGTATAAAACACCATTATAATCGAAGTCCTGTGCAACTCTTATGTTAAATGAACAGTCAGTTTTACTTGGTGCAGCAAATGTCCAGGCTTGGACAATGCAAATAATCATCGGCAAGAACTGCTTTGTTAAAGCCCCAACATATGCCAGAATAAAGGTTAAATACATGTTCATAATAACACAACTTTATGGATTTACTACTTTTTGTCAAAACTTTATCAAGCAATAGTACTAAGAAGTAGTAAATCCATAAAGTTGTGTTATAATGAATATTATACCTCTACTTCTAAATGTCAATCAAGGATGTTAAATACATGGTTTAAGACCATATTAAATTAAAAACACTTTTATCAAAAACTGGTTGGATATTTAGATAAATGGCCATTTGAAGTTTACATGGGTTTCTTATACTGTAGTTTTTAGATAGACTTAACACTATCATTTTTATCTCTCGTATTTAGACAATTAGTAATAATAATTGTGCTATGTTTTCATTTAAGTCAGCACATTCTACATGCATGTCTTTAAACTGAGATGTCCAAAATTACATACATTATGTAATAGTCTCTATATTAAAAAATCTGCATATTTTGTAAGTCTAAAGTATCGTACATGTAAGAAGTAATGGGCAATCTAGGCTCTAGCCTCTTGTTGCAGTGCTGTATTAAGTGAATTAACCGTTAACTGTCATCTGAACTCAAAGACAAAGAAAATGAACCACAAGCAGTTTTTAAAAAATCTGTAGCTCAAGAGTTTGAATGGTAGGCTTAAATTTATCAACTTAAGCTACATGTAGCTTAGCGCATGCACATTTCATTAATACATGTATTTGAGTAAATTTTGGGTTTCAACTTGAAACTTTCAAGTAATAGCTTTACGTTAAAAATAGAAAGGGAGAAAGAAAAATGGGGATCCTGATAAAAGTCCACTCAACACAAAACTGTGTCATTTATTTCAATAATTTGCTTACATGTACATGTATGAATTTTTGTGGGCGGAAACCAGAGGACCCGGAGAAACCCACAACGTTGGACAGGCAACCCTATTATACTCCTTATTGTCAGTATAGTGGGAAATGAAAACAACGCCACTTGACTCAATGACAGATCTATATCATCTAAACCAATTGACTTTGACCATAGGACCACCCCTTAACTATATGTCTAACATTTGACTGTACATGCATGACTGTCATAGAACAGTTAATCTGGTTTAACCTAATGTCCAAGCTAAAACGTCACAATCGCCCCGTTTTCAGAATGTTGGCTTTTAAAAACATGTGTGCAGACGTGCAGTGCTAGCTACGAGAACGTAGCTAAAAATGTTCAGATATACTGATGTGCTTGTTTTTAGCTGCGATTGGGTGTCTTCAGCTTCACCTGGCAAACTTAATTTCATTATTAATGGCTGCATGTAGCATCTTGAAGATAGGTTGATTTTATACTATTAGAACTTACAATGTACATGTAATTAAACATACGCACCCCACTCAGTGAAACAACTTTTGTGTATCTGCTACTGCAATTTTTACTGCAAATATTGTCAATAAATTAAATCATGTGTTGTTTTTTTCAAAATTGATACGGACATTCATAATTATGGTGTATATTCCTGCGCAATTCAAATATCAGGTTAGTACTTTGATTGGCTGCTGTACACGACACCCAGCCTTCATGACATCAAATATGTCAAATTTAAAATATCGGAGAGCCTGGCTATTACATGTAGTATTACCGCTTCGATTTAAAAAGACATTGTTTGTACCTCTGTCAGGTAGGATTATATGCTTAATTTTTGTTGAATATGGCAGAAACGTTATGAATAACAATAATCAATCAATGTTTTGATGAAAAATGAAGTCCATTATTTTGCTTACTCAGGCCTGATGTGATCCCCGTTGGGGTTTGCCAGATGGAACTGTATAGCACCATCTCTTATCTTGAAATGCTTTCCTTTTCTCTTGACCTTACATGTACCTACATATAAATATGCATATATGTAGGTAAGGCCAAGAGAAAAGGAAAGCATTACCCGTGCTGCCTCACGGCTGAAATGCTTTCCTTTTCTCTTGGCCTTACCTACATATATGCATATTTTAATGCTTAATATATTGTAGTACTTCTTATTATTTTCATGTTATGTGTCTTATCTACCTATGCATGGGACTTGCTATTATGTTTATGCCTGTACATGTATATACTGTTTTTATGTTTTGTCGGTTTAAGAAATGAAATGAAATGAAATGGGGTTTAACGTCCTACTGTTCTGCTCCTATGCTGGGCTAATGAAGATGGGCATACGCCATACAGTGTGCATCACTGACAAGGGGGAACCATGCCGGAAAATCTGGATGAACTTTCTCGGCCAATGCAGGGATCGAACACCCGACCTCCAGGCTAGCGAGCTAGCGTCTTACCCACTTAGCCACGTGATGCCCTGTCAGTTTAAGAGCTCCTTAGAGCTTGTGTTAGTTTGTTATTATGTATATATATGTACCACGTTAAATAAAGATTACTACTACTACTTGAAACAGGGAGGGTTGAGAAGAGATGAGGTTTCTTCTAGTGCAGTGCATTCATATTCCGATAATTACCCCAAGGTATTGTATTGACATAAAAAAATGTGTGTTAAGATACGGTAAATAAGTAATATCCTCCATTTGGGACATATTCTTCTTGCAGTTCATAGTCTAAAGTGTAATATGTCAGTCACTGGGTACGTCAGAATGGGTTAGGTTGAAATTCACTACAGTCACAGGTCAAGTGACAAGTGCATCTTAAAAATAAAATCAATTTTTTACAGTACCTACTGTTATCTATAGGCCCATGTAATCAGATCTAGGCTACATAATTATTGCTTTAATATAGAATAGTGCATATTTATAAATACCTGTAAAGTTCCTTTTCACTAAATAATAACATAGACCCTATACACCTGTCTTCACGTGTCGTATGTATACCGAGACTGAACTCTGGCTGATTTACATTAAAGGTCAAAGGTCATAAACAGGGAGCAGTTAGTTTGTACAATTTTTCAAAATTAAATACACAGTTGACCAACCGTAGACCCTAAGAAAGGGCAATCCAAACTAAGAAATGAAAAAATTGTGATATGTGTATCAATTTATAAAAAAACTATTCCTAGTATTAAGTACGCCTGTACATGTAATACAAATATTATGGCAACTACTACTAAGTTCGTTCGCGAAAAGCCCCATTCCATTAAAGGGATTTGGTAAATAAAGCAAAGGGAAATAACTCCATAAATGTCCCAATTTGTATAATATTTCTTTCAAGACGTGGATTTAAAGACGATTTTAATCACAGTACTCAGCGAAGGTTTGATTTTAGGGGTACAGGTGCCGACTTGGTAAGGACACGTGCAACTTTATAACCCTAAAAGAAATGTCATGAACAGTTATACCGCTTAGTTCTAATCCGCCTGGTTGAAATCCGGGTGAGTCTTGAGAGTGAGAAGAAGGGGATCACTGGTAAATTAGTAGAGCTGAATTTTCATACCATGTAGATTTATAATTTTTATATTGCAGATTATATGCCAGTAGGCTACATTTAAATATCTACAGTAACTTAAACTGTTTCTAATAGATTTGAAAAATAATTCAAGACGAGAGAGAGAGAGAGGTTTAACATCTACTGGACACAAGCAAGGTCATTTCGGGACTAACATATGGTTCAATTTTATGTTGATAATTGGCTTTTGCATAGGGGTCTTTAGCAGTGGGAGGAAACCAGCTAGAGAACCTAGAGAAAACCCACAAGGTTGGACAGGGGACCCTACTTCTTGGCTACAGCCGGGGAACTGAAACCATGCCATTGCCAGTTGACTCAGTGACAGACCTTATGAAATATTGTATATTATTAAGGAATTATGAAATGTTGTACAATGCATGTAATGCACATCACAATCACACCTTCAGTGCTTCAGATCTCATTGTCAACATTATACCATCTGTTTTGTTTATATTTCATTTCAGAAAATCCAAGATGGAAATGTGTGCAATTGGTGTTATGAAGTCTGTGTTTTTATATAAAAATGGAACACCCAGACAATCGTCTGTCTGTCAACATGCCAGGGGCAGTATTACTATTGATAAATCAATATTTAACAATCCAGATCATTCTCTCCATGGTCTTGAGGAATATTCTCATGTTTGGTTGGTATATTTCACTATCACTGCCTTGTCTATCAAAAACCAATCAGTAGGCCTATATAGTTTACTGTTAGTTAGGCCTATAAGTTATAGGCAAACAAACAATAGATCCTGCTTAGCAGAGTTATAGGCCATAACTCTGCTTAGCAGGATGTTTCTTCTGTCATCCAGGAGTTAAACATGCATTATGCAAGAGCAAAATCTGCTTATTACAAGTCTTTCTTTAGGCCTGAAATGTTATCTAAATGATCAATTAGACATTAATTAACTTATCCAGACCATAATAAACTCTCGATGTCAAGGCTAGCCTTCGATGTTGGCTGGATTAGATTCCTATATGCCGCTAACGGCCGTTGACAATTAAATCAAAAAAAGTGGATAATCGAGTCTATGCTGTTTATATTAATGATTTTAGTAATAATGACCGGATAATGCAAAAATTTCACCCGCTTCTTTCTCGCTCATCGTGGATCAATTTGACTGAAATTTTCAGCAAATTACCTTTACACAATCTAGTTTTTAACTATTATTATAGCGAGAACTGCCATCTCTTTATCTTATCTCCCATAATGTATCTTTAAACAATTGAAGAAAATCAGACGTATACAGATTGTCTTTGTCTCAATGAGATTATTATACACAATTTAACAAGCACTCGTGTTTTTATAAACATTTTTAAAATTCCAGGATTATGTTTATATTTCATCAAAATAACAACAATCATTTTAAAGCTAAAGTTCGACCACCACGTTTGGGTGGGAAACGACTAGGTGTTTTCTCCACACGATCTCCATACAGACCAAATCCTATTGGTTTAACTTTAGCTAAATTAGACCGAGTAGAGGGTAAGTATACTTTGATTTGATTGGATGGCTAACCAGCACAATTTCGGTTTACCGAGTTTACAATAATCATATTGAATTGGGATTTAATGTCCTACTGTTCTGCACAGACAGGGCTAATGAAGACGGGAGAGATATTCTTTCCTCACAACTAGGTCAAAGTATCTTTAATTAGGTATAACTCTGACTCACTAACCAGGAGCTCCTAATTCGATCCCAGTGTTGTCCAGGAAAGTTCCTCGGCCTGGTTCCTGCTTGTGAGTGGTGCTGGATAGATAACTTGGCAAGGAAAAGTATCTAGTATTTCAGATGTCATGATCAGGAAAAACGATGCCCAGTGTATGTTAAAGATTCCCTGGCAGTTGGAAAGCAGAATAAGAGTAGGCTGTACCTTATTGCACACTAAGATTGGTGCATAAAATTAGTACTGTAAAAACTTAAACCCATTTCATTTGTCTATCTCACTGATCACTCTCTATAGTCTGTTTTCTATTACTCTACTTCTTTTGAACACAGGATCACGTGGCTAAGTGGGTAAGATGCTGGCTCGCTAGCCTGGAGGTCGGGTGTTCGATCCCTGCATTGGCCGAGAAAGTTCATTCAGATTTTCCGGCGTGGTTTCCCCCTTGTCAGTGATGCAGGATGGAGGGCCTGACAAGGACAGCTGTCTAGTCGTTCGGATGGGACGAAAAACCGAGGTCCCGTGTACACATTGGCGTGCACGTAAAAGATCCCTTGGCAGTTGGAATTCGAAATAAAAGTAGGCCGTAGCGCCGCTGCCCGGGCAAAATTTCCCTCATAGCACGCTGTATGGCTTATGCCCGTCTTCATTAGCCCAGGTTAGGAGCAGAACAGTAGGACGTTAAACCCCATTTCATTTCTTTTGAACACCATATCCTTGTGCTGTATTGTTGACTGTCTAGAAATGCAGGAGATAGTTTACAACAATAGATGAGAGATAAATCAAGTTTTATACCTGAGCTGTAGGCCCTATCTATACCAGAGACTTATTAAATTTTAAGTTAATTTAAAGATATTTTATTTTGTCTTGACAGGATCAACAGTGTATGTATCTGGTATTGATATATTGAATGAAACACCTATAATAGATATAAAACCTTATATACCAGCCTATGACCAGCCTGTCACCAGACCTGACAATCATTCTACCAACACTCAATCACAAAACATTGACACAGAAGAGACTGGATATCCTGATGTTTCTGAATTCCCGCAAAATAGTGTCAAAAACTGTATTTTCAATTCTTTAAGCGTGGATGATAGAGACACTGACAAATCGAAGGAATTACAAAAATTTGTCAAAAATTCAAAAGTGAATGCCTGTGAAAGTAAATCACAACCATTACAAGTTACTGGTGCTGTTGATGCATCAAGGGGGACAACTCTACAAAGTCAAAACTGTCCTAGTTTATGTCCTGAAAGAATCATCTATCCCGAAACACCTAACACTTGTGAAAACAAAGCATCATTACCTGTAACTGAATGTGCTAATGATGCATCAAGGGAGATTACTTCAACAATTCGAAATGTTGCTACACCATGGCACCAAACAGTTTCAGACATTAAAACTAACTATGATGTTTCTTGTGGGGGAAGTGTTGCTCAAAATGTTCTCATATCAAATGAAAAATCTTTATGTATTTGTGAAAACGAACAACAAATTGATTTTGATGTGTTAAAGGAAGCTATCCCTCGTGAATCAACAGTCAAAACAGCTTCATGGTTAGAAAAAGCTAAAGATACTCAATTGACTGTCAGATTTACACAAAATGCCAGGGAAGAGTTACTCAATTTCTCTTCTGAAGCATCTGATGATACCCATAACTTAAAATTCATACTAAATCCAAAAGAATTAGAAGAGGCTGTTGTAGAAATTTTAAGAGGGGATCCCCGATCTATTTATAGGAAGAAATCATGTGGGGATTCCTTGTATTATTTTACTGTAGATATTGTTCATGTGACATGCTGGTTTGATGAGAATATGGTGGAAGTTTTACGACTTAAACCCATAAGTGATGTCAAATTTTTGAATCCAAATAACTGATGTCAGACTTTTAAATCAAAGTAACATCACTTAAGGATCTTTTTCTTCTTTTATATATCTCTTGATCTGACATTATTTGGTAAGATGTTAAACACCAATGAGGCAATGAAGCATGTTAGCATATCAGAATAAAATAAGATTGGGAGTACTGTATGTTTATTTCCTGTACATCAAAGTCTGGGGGTAAACTGAACTGAATATGCTTTGAATATTCCCATGCCTTTATGTATATTCCACAGGCAATAGTATGACCTACGAGTATTTCATATGCATTGGAGTCTTTGGGTGTACTGAATGTGTGGCCTATTTCATGTACAGTGAAGCCATTGGATTTACTAAGTGCATGGCCTATTTCATATTCACTGAACTGACTGAAGTCTTTGGGTTTATGTCCACTAAAGTCTTTTGGTGTACTGAATGTATGGCCTATTTCATATGCACTAAAATCTGGAGGTGAACTGAATGTATGGCCTATTTCATATGCACTCAAATCTTTGGATGTAATGAATGTATGGCCTAGTTATACATTAAAGTCTTTGGGTGTACTGAACATATATTCCAAAAATTTTGTTTCAACTTTAGAACACAAAAAAGGTTTGAATTAAAAAAAGTTATGAATAATTGCAGCAGTGGTCTATATTGACTTCGTTTTTAACCATTTTTATTTATCCTAATAATAATTAGGTGTATTTGAGTCATACACCAATAATATGGGTTTATCTAGGGCTGATATATATACACTTGTCGACCAAGAAAGCAAGGAAAAGGAAAGTGCGTGCTGTATCATAAAGTCTATCATTGAGTCAACTGGCGTACTTTCGATTCCCCGGTTGTACGTGAACAGGAGCAGGGTTGCCTGTCCAACCTTGTGGGTTTTCTCCGGGTCATCTGGTTTCCTCCCACAGCTAAAGACCCCTACACGCAAGCGAATTATTGAAATAAAATTAAACCATATGTTAGTCCTGAAATGACCTAGTTTGTGTCGAGTGGACGTTAAACCCCATTTCTCTCTCCATTATAGCAAGAATTTTAGCTTTTTATCTAAATCTTACATATGATATGAATCGTTAACTTTACTGGAGAACAACCATTAATCCAGGGAATTGTACATAACACTAATAGAAAATGGTTAAAACACTAATAGAAAATGGTTATACACCAATAGAAAAGTCATCCATGGTACAGTAGATGAAGCGAGGACAACATTCATAATTCACATGGATGAATGTCGTTTCTCAAATTCTGAAATGCGTTGGTTGTCACGTATTTTGTGGTTGTCTCCCTTGTATTTGAAATCACTGACTGAAACGTTTTACTGTGCGATACAGTATCTGTGACTGTATGTTGTCCACTATGATATGAGTCAGAGCCGGATTAAGGCTCTGCTGGCCCTGAGGCACATTTTGATAGGTGGCCTGAAAATACAGATATGTTGTGCTCATTGACAAAAGAAATTAAGTTACATTTAGCAACAGAAAATTTATTACAAACAAATTCAAAACATTGACAGTACTGTATTTACTATAAGTAGCCTACATATTCCCATTCACTGCCTAGCTACATTACGACTTTGCGTGCTTTTGTGACTGCAAATTCGTCAGTTAGTTTTTTAAAAGTCAATTTGATGAAGTAAATCACTTTCAATGCAGAGAAGTGCCAGTATACGAGATTCTTTCCCACAACAAATGTAAACAAACGTCACGTGTGTTAAAGAGACGAAACATCATGTCAACCCTTTGCCAGAGTATGGAAAGCTTTTAAGGACAAACCCGTAGATGAAAAAGGATGCAATTTATTTACATAAAAATAAAGGCAAGCATTTTTGTCACCACCTGATAATTATCAAAAAAGTTTTTTTTTTATGGCCCGGATTTTTGGCTGGCCCTAAGGCACGTGCCTTATTTACCTTATGGTTAATCCAGCACTGATATGAGTGTGGAGTGATATTGTACTAAGCTCCTTTTCCATCCATAAATCAGATTCCTTATTTCTTCTAAGCTCATTTCTGCCCATTTTGCCCGAACTTATCTGTCAGCTCATTTTTCCTAAACGGTTTTGTGTGTCCCGAAAAAATGTTCCGGATTTTCTTAAGTCCAGTATGACCTCCCCGTCCTCGATAGATTAATGGATTATTACATGATTGCCACAACTACTATGTGTTTCAGCAGGATGGGGTAACAAGCTAACATGCAGACTGACTTAGACCTATCTCGAGGAGACCACCCCAAATTTTATGAAAAAAGATGAATTATGAAATAATTACATGTAAATGTGATAAGTGGCTCTGAATTTAATCTCCAATAAAACAATCTACCCCAAACTTTATTAAAAGAAAAATACGACCAGGGTCCGCAGCAGTCCCTGAATCTAAATCCGATGGATTACGCTATCTGGAACAATCTCTTGGAGAAGGCTTAAGGAAGGACTCACGGAACAATTTACGAAAAATAAAGTGAATGATACAATTCAGGCAAAATGGGTAGAAATAATCTTAAAAGAAATACGAAATTTGATTTCTGGGTAGAAAAGTGTGAGGTGACTTCTTAATCCGGTAAAGGATAATTTGGCATTCTTTTTTTTAAAAAAAATCGTACTAAGTTAACGCTATTTGAGCGACGGAACATCAATACTGTACCACATGAACCTTTAGTGATACGGGGGATCACGTGGCTAAGTGGGTAAGACGCTGGCTCACTAGCCTGGAGGTCGGGTGTTCGATCCCTGCATTGGCCGAGAAAGTTCATCCAGATTTTCCGGCGTGGTTTCCCCTTGTCAGTGATGCAGGACGGAGGGCCTGACAAGGACAGCTGTCTAGTCGGTCGTAGCGCCGCTACCCGGGCAAAGTTTCCCTCATAGCACACTGTATGGCGTATGCCCGTCTTCATTAGCCCAGTTTAGGAGCAAAACTGTAGGACGTTAAACCTCATTTCATTTCGTTTCATTTCCTTTAAGGATACAGGTACAATACTTTTTTGAATTATTCCACATGAAATAATGTACTTGTTTTTTCTGGGCCACCCGATAGAGGAAGCAAATACCCTAAAAACGATAATTTTGTTTACGTCCTAAGTATTATGAACAAATGTAAAATCATCTCTCTCTCTCTCTCTCTCTCTCTCTCTTTGGAAATAATCAACTATAAATCGTAATAAATTTCATGCTTGGCTTTCTGAATACTTCTGCTCTGCTATGCTTTGAATAATTTAATCGCATTACCAATATATTATATGTCTAATAAAAAATACATTATTCATTATTCAATACAGAAAAAGCCTGTAGCATAAATCTAAACAATGATAATTACTTATTGTTATTGCATATACAGTTTATATACATTCAATTAAAATATTTTGAGGAATTTCAATATATTATTTCTGCTCATTGCACGTGTTTGGTGTGTAACGGGTGGCCTAATTATGTTTACTAATTAAGCATATTTTCAAATAAATAATTCGTTATAGCCATGCGCATGAAATAGATTTGTTCCAGCTATATAAATCTATTTTATTTTTGTCGTATAGAATTCGCTTATCTTGTCATTTATTTTAATAAGCTACAGCTTCAAGGGACACTGTGTCATTACATGTATTTTCATTTAGGAATAGGTTAATATGGATACCATTTGAAATCCCCAACATTCAAATAATCAAAAAAAAAAAAAAAAAAAGCGTGCGGCTATCGCCAATGAAATGGTCCGCCTAAACAGGATTATGGTGCAAAATTCTTCTGGATTACAGTTTTACCAGATATCACTATTCTACGGAAGACCATCAGGGTCAATCGAATGAGAAAAAGATATTCTGACTATCTTATAATTACAAGATAGCCTAATATAGCCTATCTTGTAATTACAAGATAGCTATCTTGTAATTACAAGATAACCATTTTATATAACTATCTTGTAATTACAAGATAGGTTATATTAGGCTATCTTGTAATTACAAGATAGTTTTCTTGTAACTATCTTGTAATTACAAGATACGGAGTAGCCCATTAGGGTCAATCACATGAAACAAAAGTGTTCTAACTAGTTTATTTCAAGGTCGCCCTGCACTGATTTATCGGATATCTAGGCAAACGAAGTACTTTTTTATGTTACGGGATCGGCATATTCAGGTCATGCTCCCATTAATATCATTAGCTATTTCGTGCCCTCATTAAAAACCAGTCATTAAGTTCATACTCTCATTAACTTCATAGTCCCAATAAACTTCATACTCTCATTGATATCATTTATTAATGATTCATTGATTTCATGCTTTCCTTAAAGATACTTTCCCGCGTACAAACTATGTGATATTTTTCAGAATGTATTTTCGTTACTTACTGTCCATTTATCGTACATATTGAGACCTAAGTAAATTCTTAATTATTTTCTGTCAACAACTTTTTCCGTTGACACCCCTCAATGTTCCCCAAACCGCCTAACCATTTGATCAAGAAATAACAACCGCTCCCCCAGTCAAGGTAGCACACAATAAGCTGGCAGACAACAGTCGGGTTTCCAGTTAGTGATACCCTGACGTTTTTGCCCATTGCTTGCATTGCACCATTGGTGTTTTCGGGTAATCCAGTATTTTTCCAGTAAGATTGAGTGTCTATACTTTCCATATATACCAAATTTGCTATACTTTTATTCGAAATAACCACCCGATAAATACTTTCGGCACAATGTATCTTTAAAGCCATGGAATGACATTTACATTTTTCAGAAACTTTTGAAAATCCAAGCCTGAATGTATACCAATTAATTATTAAAGAACTCAGAATCAAGATCGCAACGATGGCTAATTTTCAGGCTTGGATTCAATCGAATTAAATAGAGGCGCATGAAGGAGGTTCAGCGAAACGTAAAGATGGCAACGGCTTGTTTAAAAGGGATATAGACGAAAAGGCGCTAATCCAAAACGATCAAAACTTATGACCCTGTAAAGTTAAAACGAACGAAAACAAAACGGCCAAAAATGTGATAAAAATTTAAATTAATATACGTCAGTGGGTTCTTTTTAAAGAGTGTATGGTTCTATTATTTGGAACCTTCAAATAGACAAAAATGGTTCTAAAAGCATATATGAATTTAATATGAATATATGTAAAGTGATTATTCAATTTTTGAAAATAAAATTTGTAATTTCTAATAAATTA